GTTCTATATCAATGTCAGCTGATGAACTTGTAGGGAGATTGCAGTCAGACCAAATCAAACTCAGCCAACATATATTTGTGTTCAAACTATTTACCGGGTCCCCTAATCACCACGATTGCGGTGACCCGCCAACAGTTATCACACTATGATGGTAAATGGGTCCTTCGGGTTGACGGAGTGTCCCACCTCTTATATATGTTTGACTGACAATTCGAGAAAAATATGATTGACACCTTTTGAACTATTTCGAAAGGCCTTCCAGCTTTTTGTATCCAAATATCGCACAGATTTCTCAACTTACCCGTATTCAGGGGTACAATGCAATTTGTTTGCGTCATTCAACCATATCTGATAGATAGCTCTCTCTCAACAGAATTCCTCGGACCTTTGTAAAACGTTTGAACATTCTTCCCGCAAATTTTGTCTACAATGAACTGAACTGTTTTTTTTAAATAATATTACATTAACTTTTTTAATAGTTTTATTTCCTTTTTCTGTTTATTAATTATAGAAATGTACAAGAAACTTTCAGTAAAAGGATCGCAGTCATGCAAAAGCTGTCTAGGGAAATACGAAAATTGGGAAGATGTGCGGCGGTGGCGGGGTTTCAACTCAATATCCCCAAGTAGCCATTTTGACGACCCCACCACTCGACCACCGCCGTTTGTCGAGGATAACCCAATTTGTCATCAGTTTTTAATCTCCTCATGAACGAAATACTGAATAATGCTCAAAATGTGGATGTTAAATGATTAGCTAGAGAAAATGTCCGTAAAACTGGTTGCTGATAAGTGCCATGTACACAAAACAACTCAACATTTAGATGAACAAGTAAAGGGAAGAGTCTAGTTTAGTTTCAGATTCGGTTTATGCACTCATTAACCATGCACTATCGTGCGCCGGTTTTGGTTACTATCTTTCGGCTGCCCATTTGAATGAACATTAAGAAAAAGACAGGAATGCTTGAAAGTAGGATCGAAGAGAAAATTGAAAAGTTCAGTGGACTAATGACACAGAGAAATTGAGATGCACGAACGCCACTGTTTACGACACCTAGCCATATCACTCAGTGTCTCTAACCATCGGTTACGACCATCCTGAGGTCCCCAGCCAGGGAGCCTAATGGGACCTGTGTGACCCAGACTCCTGGTCAGGGTTTTCATACCCGCATACGAGATCTTAGCTTGACCACCCTTGACCTTTTTTCACCCACCACCTGCCTCAGCAAACATCGCTCGCCGAGGCAACCTATTTGGCGACATGCGTAACACATGCCCCAACCAACGTGATCTATGGAGATCGACCACTTGCTCCAGTGGGCGACCGCGGTTGCCTAAAACTTTGCGCCTTACTTCAGCATTGTTCGTCCGGCTGTCCCGTCAGATTCGCGCAATGCTGCGCAGACAGCGATGTTCAAACACCGGCAGTCTATTTTAATCCTGTTCCCGTAGTGACCAAGTCTTTGCATCGTACAGTAAGACTGACCGAACTGCTGCAGCATACACTCGACCCTTCACAGACAACCGGATGTCGCGACGGTGTCACAGATGTCTCAAGTTGGCAAATGCTAACCGAGCCTTTTGTATGCGAGCTGACACTTCATCCGTGATGCGTCCACCGGGTGAGATGTAGCTGCCCAAATAACAAAACTTATCCACCCGCTCCGTTACTTCCCCAGTTAGAGTGAGGCTGGATGCTGGACCAACCCAGGCTTTGCAGTAGCATTTTACCTTGGAGGTGCAAAACGCATACCGAACATGGCTACACTAGCACTCAAACTATCCAGAAAAGCTTGTAACTTACCTGGATCTTCACTTAGTGGTATAATGTCGTCTGCATACCCTAGAACAAACAGCTTGCCACCTGGGAGTAAATCGATACCAGTATCGTTGCAAGAGGATAGGGCTGTTTCCATAATCAGATCTATAACAAAGTCGAACACCACTTTTTGTGGTGAACTCGGGTGAAAACGTGCCGTAGGCTCGGACTCGGCTTCGGCTATGAGTATAGAGGGATAGTAATATTGAAATAAACTTCTCGGGCACACCTTATAGAGAAAGGCAGCGCCAGAGTTTAGCTTGATCGTAGCTTTTCCGTTCTTCGTGTTTCTGATTGTCGTAATTTTGATGTCTCGGTTGCTCTCATTAGTTACTTCTAGCACAGGACGGAATTCCCTTGGTGCAATGACAAAACCTTTTCCTCTTCAGAAGTTAAGTAAAGATTTACAATTTCGTCTTCGCTTACTTTGTCTGCACATAAACAGCCTCCTCACTCTTTCCAACTTGGTCCTCAGCTATTAAAGTGGTCATTGGGTGCTCAACCGTGCATTCCGGCTATTTCCGCTAATTATAAGATGAACAAGTATTTTGATGCATCAAAACAAGTTCTCACTGTCAAAATCTCTGTAGTAAGCTGCCTAAATTCATCTTTAGCAGTTCTCGCATTCCCAAAGCCCATCTTGTAAAATACTTCAGCTTTTTGTTACCACGCATAATAAACTAAATGCGTTAGGCTTCCTCGGTTATCCTTGTTTTCTTCAGAAGATTGCAATTCATTTAAATTTACTTTTGAATGTGACCCTTTTTATGGTTTGTTTTTTTTCTCCGTTTTCTCTTTATAAAAATATTTCTTTATCGTACTTCGTGATTTTTGTTTCAAAATTATCCTAGTGATGTCAATAATCCTATTCTGTCTTTACCTGATTTTTTCGTGATTTACTGGCCAGTTGTTACCCACCTCGGCTGGTCAATCTTCAGGCCATAAAATGCTCTCCTTTCCATGACGGGTTTATCACATTGAATCACTTCCGAAAAGCGGAATAATAACTACCGCTCCAGCTTGGAAAACCTCCCTCGAGTGGTTCCGTATGACTACTCTCCAACCCCCCTACCCCCCTCCCAGAAAGCTTTCAGAAGCGTGGTTGTCATTTTTCCTTGTGGAATTTATGCTACTTTGTATTACGAACCTCTTCCAAATCAAATATTCCTTTCGTTTATCCATTATGGAATTACCACTGAGAGTCAATACACCATACATTATTAAGGTAGCTCCATCTGTCGTTCTCTTCAGGAGACTGGGCGTCTGTGGAGTATTCGATCTACAAATTTTCTTATATTCTATCGGAAGCTGCCAAAGCGTATCGTGTGATGTCATGTCAAACAGGAGTCATCGTTGAACATATGAACTATGCACTCATGCTTCTTTTTTCTTTGAAGAATTTGCGAGTGTTGAGAGAAAAAAGCGAGAAGGTAGTTGAAACAACCATAAAAATATTTCCACAAAGTGAACGATAAATATCCATCTATCGCATACCAGGTCGATTTTTTTGTTGATACTCAAAAAGTCGGTTCATCAGTGGTTCATGAACGCCACCAGCTTGTGGAGGCCACGAGACAACCGTAATAGATTACTGCTATTCTTTTATTTTTAAATCGCTTTTGAAACTTCCATCTGTATTTTCAGCTTCGTAAAATGTGTCGTCTGTTGGCTGGTAGGCATGTCCCCACCGCAACTGATCGATGGCTCTATCGCAGTTCCAGCATGGAAACACGCGCTCCATCCCCTTCAACTGCACTAAGTCTCAGTCCATCGTTGAACCCCAGTCTTGTATTGCGTACCGATTCCAACGCCACTACCAGTATTGAAAGCACTGCCGACACCCGGTCAGGGGACGCGACTGGGCATGGTGCACAGTCAGGAATGTGTAAAACAGTAGCTCCAGCTTCTGTCTCAGATTCAACGTATGCAAACTTATCCGATCGCAGTAACCCGTCCAAAACTCAAACAAAGGGATCACAAAATTCCGTAGAACAGCGGTATCACACCTCAAGAGAGATGTCCAATTTTGGTCATGGTGATGGCACGGGCGTTTTGGTGCGCGCTGTTTCCTCCTCGCATACACCGGGACAGATGGCAAATCAAATTTCTATCCAAACATACGCTTGTCAATCCGGACAGCCAACAGAGCAGGTGAGTTGCCCAAAGTCACGAGCGATGCACTCAACCCTTAAAAAGTACTCAATCCAAGCCATTTTGGAATTGCTTAAAATAGTCTACTTTTCCTTCACTATTTTTCTCCCTAGAGGCTAGTCACCAACGCACTTCCCAAGAGCTTATAGCCTTGGTAATGCCTGTCAATTATTACCAAGCAGTTCTAAATTTTGCTACTACGAAACTAGCCTTGTCGTGAGGCTGAGTGACTATTTAACTTAAGCGTCATTTATTATTTAAATATTAAAAAGTGAAACGTCTGTCACCTTCAGAAGAAATCAGTGCCATAATGTCGCACATCGTTTGATAGTGGGATACCTGTTTCCGGGCCTTCTGTACACACGAAATTAGGATCACATCGCACAAGAAAAGCAATGAACCAACGGCGCGAGTGAACGTAAGATGCTTGTCGACAATTAGATGTTGTGAAGAAACCTACAGAGATGATTGCCGACCATTAACCGTCCTAAATAACTCTTACCAATCTTTTATCCAATGGAGCACCATAAGACAGCAACCAAAACCGGCGCACGAAAGTGCATGGTTATCGGTTTTAAAAACTGAACTGAACTGATTTATTTACAAACCATTTTGAGTGTTAATCTTATCGTGGAGGTTCAGCTTTGTTTCTGTGCATAAGTAGATTTTGCTTGAATCATTTCCTATGATAATCTCATACCGCGGGATTCGCCATCCATAATATCCATAAGGCGTCTGTTGGTCCGTGAGCCCCATCGGCATGCGCACATGCTTCAATCCGGTGCACATTTTCGTTGAATTGTTCATACAATACCAAGCCCAGAAATACTTTCCGGTGCATTATTTCGAAGTTTATTCTAGGATATTACATGATTTAAAATTGTGTTCCCATCTCTCTGTCTTCGTGAGACAAAAACTATGGGTCGCGAATCTGTAACCGAAGCATTGTCATTCTCCACAGTAACATTTACATTTTTCTTCGGCTTTCATCTTTCGCCTTACGTATATACGTTCAAGTTACTGGTCAGTATTATGGTTGATGAATAGTGTAAATCATTCCACTCCACTGTTGAAAAAGGAATTATATGTTAGTAGGTACAAGATAATCCGTGGAACTCCTTGAATTGCTTCTTTTGAAGACCAATTAACTTGCTTGCGGAGAACGGCTTTTAAACAGTGTTTTTCGGCATTTCAGTTATTAGGTATTTAGTTTGATCGTTCGGACGAGCATATTGATAACCGTCGTTTCGGCCCCTAATTCATCGTGAAAGTTAAACTTATCTATCTACCCTATTTCACGCTGTTTTCAGCCTTTCCGTAGACTGTTTCTTGTCGTAAATTCTAATACATTGAAGTAATATAATGTATTTCTATCAAATTCATATTGCACAACATGAGAGAAGACAAATATATATGGAGGACTGTAAATAGACCTGCCCAGATCCAGAAAACAAATTAGATTGTTTGGAAAAAGAAGCCAGTAGGGTAAAATCGTACAATTTATACCCCCAGAAAATCTCACCGCATCTCAGATGGTGTCTAAAGCAGATGGATCCAATGTTCATGTAGGGCTGCAGAGTGGATTGCAATGTAATTATCTTGTACCTACTAACATATAATTCCTTTTTCAACAGTGGAGTGGAATGATTTACACTATTCATCAACCATAATACTGACCAGTAACTTGAACGTATATACGTAAGGCGAAAGATGAAAGCCGAAGAAAAATGTAAATGTTACTGTGGAGAATGACAATGCTTCGGTTACAGATTCGCGACCCATAGTTTTTGTCTCACGAAGACAGAGAGATGGGAACACAATTTTAAATCATGTAATATCCTAGAATAAACTTCGAAATAATGCACCGGAAAGTATTTCTGGGCTTGGTATTGTATGAACAATTCAACGAAAATGTGCACCGGATTGAAGCATGTGCGCATGCCGATGGGGCTCACGGACCAACAGACGCCTTATGGATATTATGGATGGCGAATCCCGCGGTATGAGATTATCATAGGAAATGATTCAAGCAGAACCTATTTAAGCAAACGTACAAAGGAGATTTTCCGTTGTGCTACTCTCTCGCACAAGACTCCTAATTAATTTGTGATCAATACTTTTCTTCTTAGTGTTCACTGAAATGCATTAACAATAATCTTTTGAAAGTAAGCGGTTAAATTCTTCCCGATGTATTAGTGACATACGTTTTTGGTGGTTTCCGTTACACTGGGTATTTCACAGGACATCTTAGACGCTTTCTGAATCGTAAACTACTTTTTATTTCTTTATTTTTAGATTGTGAAAGATTTTCACTGCTTTGTTTACTTTCAGTAAGCCTTACCTGGTATGAAGAATTGTACAGTTTTGTGCATCTCAAAACATCCATTCATTTTGACCGAACAATGTGAATTTCTATAGCTGGCCTTAAGTCTATGGGCAGTTCCCTTACTTTCTCTTAATTTAATTATTTCATTAACTTAACTCGTTAGCTTGAGGTATTATTTCGCTTGCTTTTATAATTACCAATACTAAAATCCTACTTTCATCCCTACACACTTTTAACTACAGTTACAAGATCGACTTCAATGGGTCCAGCAACAACTAAACGATGCCGCCTCGAGCACACCTACACATTCAACACGAAAACGCCTGACAGATCAGGAGTTAGTGGATCTTCGAAACGAGTTTTGTGCATTACTTCGCGAGCTCAAACAACGTTGCAGCCTCGGGAATCTGGGCATCACACCGGAAATGGCCAAGTCCATTTCTTTTCCTACTTCTGATTCTCCAGATCACAGAAAAAGTGTGCGAGACGGTCGGTTGGCTGTGACCCACCCTCGTTCTGTCGGTCATTCCCCCACTCGGGTCGGTCAAACCAAATTCAACTTCAACGAGGTTGGCAAGAGTCGTAGTGACTTCGATTTCAAGCCAAAAAATGAGGGCTTGACTATTTCATCCGGTATTGGCAAAACCATTGCGACCAGGGGATCTGCTAGTCTTGAAACTGTTGGTGACAGGAAAAGAAACATGACTACTCCCATTGGGGGTGATTTTGATGAAGTAAGTGATTTATCTTCAATTTAATTATCCTGAATCGTGCATTTTTTTCGGTAAACTTGAGTTCTGTTGTCTTATGGTAGACGTTGATCGAAATGGAAATCTGCGCGCCTTTTGTACTCCCTACAAATAATACTCAATTTGACAACTGCTTTTCAAGACAATAATGCTGTTGTGTGTCAATGTATGAAATTCAAACGTCTGTCATATTCACGTTTTTTTTGCACAAAGGATCCGGACTTTTACATCGATGCCTACGGGGACGATGATGAGGAAGAAGAATTCGAGGACGATGAAGATGATCTGGAAGATTCGGAAAAACCGGTTTTTCCTATACAAAGCTGTGGTAGTGGTGGTAGTTTACATATTCGACCGCCGATTGCCCCACCTACGCCAGATCAATCTGGCAGAGAAATCCCGTTCGGTACAGAGGACACAATGAACAGCTCTGAACCATCAATACGCCCCGATAACCGGGACCTATCCACGCCCAACATTGATTCATACCATCCCAAGTCCAAGAGGCGTCGGACTAGTGCTACGTCTTCGGGAGGTCGTAAACGCCGGAGATCCTCTTCACTGCTGTCTACCGATGTTACGAGTTTTGATCTGATTCCGAATAGACGTGGATCATTGGGTAGCGGTGGTACTTGTTCCACCCGGTCTGGCCCCGAGGGCTTACTGTCCAAGCTGGTCAGAGGTAGATTGGGCGGTTTGATCAGTAACAGTCGACCGAATTCCACCGGACTCGGCTCTAAGTCATGTAAATAAAAGACCGAATCGGTTCAAGAAGTGTCGAGAAACACTAATCGTAATGTGACGCTTTTCGCGCAAACAACCCCCACCCCACCCTCGCGACACTAACATCCAAGCAGCAATTTGCGCACCTGTAAGCCCAGTCTCATTTGGTAAGTGACATTTGTGCTTGAAACCTGACAAAATGTTGTTACTAAAGATGTGCCATTCAAATATGACTGGGACAGCGAACTCCTATTTTTACTTTCGAATCATTTATAATTCAACTGAGCACGGTGATTGATAAAAAGTTATGTTTTGACCTACTGATATTCAATTATACCTTCAGAAATGGGCATAAAAAACCTTTTTCTTATCTGAGTGAATATCCGCCAATAGCTGGTACTCCTCACAAACTAACCTANAACGCCAGCAAGTCTTAGAGTACTACTCGTTTCATTGTGAAACTGTAAGCGCTTCCCTTGTACAGTACAAAGTTCAATATTTTTAGTCTACCATAAGCTGTTTTTGTCAACTTTGTTTTCACTCGCTTATGCAGTTGCAACAGACGAACAGGTCTATAGTAAAAACATGCTCCCTATGCCTCCTCCTTCTTCAAGTATTACATTCTTTGGATTTCGAGAACCTGTATGTGACTGAGGTTTATTACTAGTGATCGTGAACCGAGATTCTTGAGAGCTTAGAGCACAGACTAACTGGCTATAATCGACCGGATCCTGTTTATCAAATGAAGTGGTCAATAAGTAGGATTATCAAACCAAAATACATTAGACTTCGGAAATCTTTCAGCCAACAAAAATAGACTTCATTCCCGGTCAGTTTGGGTAAATTGCACGAGCTATGGGTTCGGCTGTTTTGTGGCTGGAATGCTATTACAAATGAAGAGGCTAAGTGAAGGGGATTCTTATGTGGTAAGTTTTCCAATTCCTCCGATTGATTACTATTTTAAATCCCAAAAGGTAAAGCAATGAAATACATTATACCTAACATGCGTCCAAGTCCAAACCTTGTGCAACGCACAACCCTCAGTTATTATACCTCTTCATGGCTTGCGTTTTTAGCCAACTCTCCTAGGTGCACTGCCAGTGGTCCATGGACTCGGGTTGTAGCCCCGGATGTTAACTTTCAGTTCTCTCTTTGGTACAGAAACACCTCCGCTACCAGAATTCAGTGGGTAGAGATTCCTCACCGAGGCCATTTGAGACGCTTCGCGAGTTGTAAAGAAAGGGTGACCGTTGACAGCTTATCACTCCCATTCGTGACCATATTGACGCTTTTAGAGAAAAAGACTTTGGTTGATAACCTTATTTTCGTCAGCGCACGTTACCCGAGCGGACACAACTTAGCAAAATGATCGATATGTATACTATCGATAAGTAATATGAAATGTCCTAATGCCCAGAAAACTGAATGTTGTGTAGTGAAAAACAATGTCAAGCATACGTTTAAAAAGGCATGTTATGAATTTTCAACACGGATACAACTGTCTGATATGTTGCAAGAAATTTTTAATGTCATTATGGAACATCTGGATCGAAAAATCAAACTGCATACGTTATTGTACTTCATCCAAATGGTCTCAAGTCATGTCAACGATAGATCCTATTACATTTCTCAGTCTGTTTTATACGGCTCCAGAATGCACCCCTGTCGCAGGATTGATGAAGACGTCAGAGTAATTAACGCACATGGGTATATATCCGAGAGAATATAATAAACCGTAAGCTGTTCACTGATCTGCATGCACTGTGGTTCCCGACATCACTCAACGTTGCAGTGTAGGCAGAAGTGTGGACGCTGATCGATCTTCCACCCGTTGGGAATAACCTTTCTTTGGGTTTCGATCATACATTCCGAAGACCCATACAGTCGGCGATGGTCTTCGTCGTCTGTATTTCCTTTTACTACAACACTCGTCGATTTCCACTATCCAACGCCACCCAGTTGTGTCGTTAGGGGGTAAATTATGGAAGAACAGACGTCACAACAGAAAGTGTACCACCGGATGGCCCTCTCCCTGGAAATGTTTGCCATTGCGGCTGAACGCGTGACCGGTTCCGCCATAACAGAGTAAAGGATTAACTCCATGAGTGTCGATGAAGGCAGTTGTGACTTTTGGAAAAAGGTGCCAATACAAATGCAGACACGCTTCTTGCACTTCGTACACCTGAAAACACAACGATCCCGGCTGTTTTTAAAACTCATGACTGTGCATTGGGTGACCACATGCACACGTTGTCTCCTTCTTTGACAAACTACGGTCTTTTAAATACCGAGCACAAGCGTCCCCTTGGGATTCCGACCTGAGTCGATACATATTGGAACCACTTGGCGTGGCTTGGGCATCTTCAAGGTCAGAAATGAAGAAAAAATGGCCGGATACTAATCTACCTAGATAAATGTTCGTTGTTACCAAAAATACATGAACAATTACTTAAAATTATACAAACATTTACTATACCACTCAAAATACATGAAAATTGACCAAAATACAGGGTTGAGGGTGGTTGAAACGAGTACCGTTATGAGCCTGGGGGGTAGGTCCGCAAAGGTAACGTGCGTCTTTCATTCTGCAACTTAGCTACTGGACTACCTAACAGTCCCCGTCTATCACACTCCAATTATCAAGCAACCTAGAAATAATTCCATACTGTATCGGTCGCCACGTAATGTACTCAGGACTGCCCTCCAGTACATCGGACAGGCTGGAATGTTCAATGGTTTAGTGCTGAGATAAACCAATCGTTGTTTAGTTCGTCTTCTGTATATAACCCTGCTCTTTGACCCTTCTTCTGACCCATAACTTCATTCAGACTTGCTGTAGGTTATTTTTAGTCGGTGTAATCAGTGACCGATAGCGCTTTTGGTTGCTGCCTTTTGTCTGTCCGATTGGAAGAAGTAAAGGGAAGATTAGGATGTTGGAAGCAACGTCATTGGAAATTAGGCGCACGAAAGTGTTAATGGTTAAGATTGAACTGAACCGAAGCATAGGACCCAAGTAAACTAGGGTTGCAAGGAAATTGAGATGCACGATCGCCACTGTTTACAAAACTGTCATGTTGTTCGGTGTGTCAAACACTGATTCCGATCTATCCAACGGGTCCTGGCACAACCCATAAATCTGACACCCCAGTTAGGTTATACCCACATACCAGTTTCTGGATTGATCGTCTTCACCTTCAACAACTGCCTATATGAGTAAACATCTCACGTGCAGACAATCTTTTCGGCGACATGTGAAACGCAACTCAGCCCATGAAATCTGAGACTGCATGACACAATGGTTCGATTACCATTATGTTCTTTGTTCGAAAAGGCGCTCTTGACTCAGTTGCACATAAAGCTCTCTTAGGTTGCCTTCTTCACAAAGTCACTAAGTTTTCCGGCTTACTAAGGTCACTGTGTTCACACACTTCTGGTCAGTGACCTATAGCAAACAAAATAGCGACAAGGCTGTTTGAGATATCAGAGGCTTTTTACTCTATCGATTACCCTGACCCTGGAACCTTACGTTGAGATACGTTCCAAACCTAGAAGCGCTTTCCGTTAAACCTCGGGGAAGGCTAAGATTTATGATGAGTTAAATGGTTGCCGCATATCCCTGTTCCTCCTTCACTTTGTCGCAGATGATGTCCATCCGGGAGAGACCTACACAAACCATGATAACACGTCCAGGTGCTGTCACAAAACGAGTTAAACGGGATGGTTGTTGTTAAGCAAAATCATCCCATGCCAAAATCTAGACTCCTGATTGAGGGAATTCGTTTCGATTCAAGTGGAGTAGGCGGTTCAAACAGGAAGAGCCAAAGGACTGGCAGTCCTTATTGTTTTAACGGCTGTTATGTCTTTGTAAATGGACTAACATGAGGGTCTTGTGAACCACCGATCGCTCCAAAGGATCACAACTACAGTGCGACAAGTTTAGTTTCAACGAACAACCGTGGCGCAGTGTATGTGACCGCAAACATCATCCGCAGAAGTGAAACAACTGTGTCCTCGACGTGCAGACAGTTCTAATCTACGCCTCGGAACCTGAATTTGCATGTACTCATTCAGCGACTTGGTGGGTCGAACAAGAGGCATAATCAGTACAGGTAATGTTGTGGTACATCTAGATGGTTCGAGCGAGTGGGCAACCTCTAGATAAGCTACGTTGGGTAGAGAATTCGCTATCACATCGAATCGAATGATTAAGCTTTGTTAGCTATATTGCGTATACCTAGATGCCGTCTATCGCCTCGCGTCTTGCTTGCAGCTGGCACTCTAGATTGCAATAAGTTGTGTGAAGTCAACAGATGACGTGGAGACGAGGCTTAGAGAAATGCCTTAAGTTTAGGTAGAGCAGGCTTTTCTCGTGCCGATGTAGGATCCGAAACATCCGGGGATGAGAAACCTGACCGTGGTGGCGTTCTAGTTTTTGTTTCTTAGTAAATCAGCATGCTTGAAGAAGTGCATGTGCACAGGTGGACAGTGTACTTTGTCTGGACCATCAAGATCCCTTCCCCCTCCCAAAAAAACAGACCCATTCTTCATTCATGCCACTCATTTCAACTTACTGTGTGCTACGCAGTGATAGGAGAGGTTCACATTGTTGTATATCGTTCGACGATGTTGATTACACGAAATTCGATCCTTTATTAATCTTTATTGCAACTTATGTTTATTGTGTATATCTCAGTTGGTTTCTTTTGATGGATATTTCTGGATCAAACGTGGCGGCTTGTATGGAAAAAAAATCGACACGTCGAATTAATGGCTCTGTCTTATTTATCTTTTCAGATGCTCGTGGGGCTCGTTTTAGCATCAAGGCGCCCAATTCTCGGTTCATCTATTTAGTGATACTTAAAACCAAAACCAAAGTCGTGTACCCTATTTGCATGCATTTACTCTAGTCGTGCCGAAGTAACAGCTGTACATATAACACCCTTCGCTCCGTTTTTTGTTTTTCTAGATCTCAAACACCAACAGCCTTTTTAACCCATTCACATTTATATCCCCTTACCTGCTGTTTTCACTCTCACTTCCACCTACTCTTTCACTCAACCGTTTCCCAAGGACCCTGAACTCCCGCTCGACAGGTTGTATGTACATATGTACTCACTCCAATCGCATTGAGTTACAAAATGATCAGAAACTGCATTACAGCTTACAAAACCATCCACAACCACACAAAATAAAAATAAAATTGCATACATACATATATATACAACATTTTCGTGTATTTCTCACGTCAAAATGGGTTCGCAAAACACAATGGCGAGTAAAAACAATGATGCAGTATGGGGAGATTAGCACTCAGTGTTTTGTCGCATCTGCTGTTTGAATGCATCCAGACAGCGAAAAGCGACCTTATCATAAGCGCATCGGTGGAGGCCCACGACCACGACCGCGAGGGCCACCTCGACCGCGACCGCGGAGTCCACGCCCTCGACCACGCACCACAGGTGGAGCTGAAAAATATTGGTAAATTTCACTTTTACGATAATTGAGCAGAGGAGAGTAGACTGACTGTTTATATGCCGACAGCTCCATACATCGACAATGCAGAACAAAAATGCAACGTCAATCACAAACTCGTGCCAGGAAAAACAATACCCTACGAGAACCAGAAAAGCGAAGGGACAAAAAATGCCAATAGTTGAGTTTACGTCTGTCAGCATCCAACGCCTGTGTAGCTTTTCATGTCAAGATATGGTAAATAAGCTTTTAGAGCAGCAAAATTTTTGCTTCAGTCAAGGTAGTGCTTAAATACAACCTAAGTTTCAAGGATACTGCATACTAAAGACCAAAATCCGGAAAACCGAAACTGTTCAGCACCCGTGAGTGAACGTTATAATTTTCTCCTTTTTTATTACACACCTAGATGTGATGAACAGCAGATGGGGCGAACCCCATAGTTAAGAAGACCTGCTGTTCAGTGGTGGAAACCGGTAACCTAAGCTACGGGACTTGGAGTAGCGAACCACAGGCTCCGATTGGTTAGGTGTAGTATTGAACCGGACGACAGTAGAGCTACCTACCACCAAAGTCGGGTGGCGATGGCGGGGCTCAAACCTCGGACCATAGGGTCCAAGGCATGCCAGTGACGGCGACTAAACCACTGCGCAATCACCACCCCGACAAACCGCACAGATCCTATGGGATTTAATAATCATCAGCTATGTAATGTGAGCACAATAAAACTTTGAAGTTGACTACTGCTGGGCTATAGATCATTTGACAAGTAAGCGGAATACTGCATCTAGTGGTAAAACAACTAAAGAAATAAGTGAATTATTTGACCTTAAGGAACCATCTGGACTTGGGAGCAGAGAAAGTCACATTTTTTACGTCTGGACTTCCAGTGCTCTGGAATTTGGATAACCAGTTCAATTTCGTTTCAGTTCGGATTAAGGGGCGTCCTCGACGCCGCGCACGATAAAGCGCCTATACCCTTCATATGACCCGGCGCGAACTGCAAGGGAGTAGTTTTTGGCTGCTGAATATCACGGGTGAACAGTAAATCCTGACTAAGGGATGAACTCCAAGGGCCATTTGTCACAGGACCGCTGTCAACATCGTACAGTGGAATACAGTGAGGCGAACTTTAGTGATCGCTGCCAAACGCAATACATACAAGTGGAACATGTAGGGTGGTCAGATATGTGAAGTATTTTTAAGGATGGACACAGAGAGCCACGAGACAGCACCTTGACGTGGTGTGATGGCTTGCGTGCCTCCAATGACCCTGCGAGCTACACAGGATGGCTTTTCACAGCCGGAGATCCAATCATGCCTGAAAAGTCAACGGGCCAGACGAAGCTCAGTCTCACAAGCCAGCTGCTTGGGCACCCCCTGGCTTCTTTCTTCTATCCACACCCGCCCCTGGAGAGGTCACTCCAGTAA